AAACAAAAGTGAGCCTTGTGAATTTCTTATGAATTTCATGTGAATTCTCTATAAACTCCATTTGAGTGCATTCAATTATAGAATTTTAGAAAAATAATGAGTCTCATGAATTCTTTGTGAACTCTCTGTGAACTTCCTATAAACTCTGCTTGACTGCATTCACTTGCAAAATTGTAGAAAAAAAATGAGCCCTCTAAACTCTACTTGGATTTTGGTCAAGCTTTTGCTTCTTTTCAAACTCCATACAATGTTAAGTTTTTTGATGAAAACCAAGAGAGATGCATGCAGTGAAGGACAGCCACCACTTGTATTCTTGACCAATCTTAATATATAAATTAATTGAATCCAAAATTATGAACATTGACTTATTTTTAGCTTGTTAATTTTCTTTCCACTACTCCGATGCTATCACTAGCAATGTATAATGCTTTTTGAAATGCCTTGATCAACTATAAAACATCCTATAGAATGCCTTGATTACCTATAAAATGCCCCATGAAAGGCCCTATAAACTTCACAAAAGGTTGACATTTTTTATTAAAAACAAGGACCAATCCATGCAACCATTAAAAACCACTACTTGATGAATCCTTGTCATTATGAACTATTGATAACATTACATTTTTTGATGAAAACAAACATAGAAGGGTGTATGCACTGAATGAGCGCCACATTCTATCTCAATAGGACATGAAATGTAAAACGACCTATAAACTTTGGAGAAAGTTAACTTTTTTGATGAAAACGAAGATCCATCCATGTAACCATTGAGAACCACTACTTGTCTCCTTGTGCATTCTTAATATTTAGATGTATTATAAAACCCTAGTATTGCACATTTACTCACTTTCTGTAGAGCTATTAAAGGAGCAAAAATTTGTCCCTCTGAGAAGATGAAGATCAATGAAATGACAATTATTATCGTTTTTCCATTCTAATGGCTATTAATCAAAATACTACGAGAATTTCGAAACTTTTAAACTTCACTCCAGATTTACTCTTTTTTTTGGGTTGTCAAACGTAGTGTCAATGTGCATTTTTCCATGCATGAGACTCGAGATCGGACGACGAATTTCCTGCATTCCTCTCGAATTCCACAACGTTTAAACGTCGCGTAACGTTTCCACAATTGCAAATCCCAAAGTACCACAGACCACGTTTTTTTTTTTTTTTTTTTTTTTTTTCTGTTTTTGATTTTGGTTTTGGTTTTTGGTTTCGTGCACTGTGGACTTATCTGAGCTCCAATTTGAGGTCGTCATCCTCGATTTGGGACGATCACCTGCGCTGCGTCGCTCCACATTGACAGCCCCGCCTGCTGAAGGCCTTGTGACCCAGCTCGGGAAGAAGATGCTGCACGTAAGTTGTGAGGATTGGTGCGTCGGGGTTGGGATTAGGGTTTTGTGTGTTGTGTACCCAAGGCTTGGTCTCGAGGACGAGGTTTTTAGTTATTCGGGTGCTTTCTACGTGTGGGTTTTTGTATATATATATATATATATATACACACACATGTGTGTGTGTTTTTCTATTATTGATGAGATTCTTGGTTGGGAATGTCCTCTTGCTTTAATGCTGTATGGGTGGGTAGTGTTGAACCCGACTTTTCCTTTTGTCAGATGAGTTTTCATTTGTGCTTTAATGGGATCACTGATATTCAGCTGAAATGCTGAATTGCTGCTGATGTTTGACTGATCAAGCTGTGTTGAGAGGCAGCTGAGATTGTGTGAACCAGTTGAGTTGGGCTATCGCACTAGGAGCCCTCAAATAGTCACTTCCATTGAATGGAAATAAGAATTAGGCGGTGCCTTCAATATTGCAATTTTGATGTGTATTTTCCTTCGGTACTTTTGGGAATAAGTGTGTGGTTTTCAACTTCTTGGTTTTTCAGAGACAGCCTCTGCCACAAGTCTTAGCAGTTACGTAGGCTGCGCAAGATGAACTTGCAGGAAATGATTCCGCACTTATTATGTAGAAAATGGGCACCATATGTTTCTTCATAATTCAGCCTTAGATACTGCGTTAGGGTAGCAAGAGGTGATTGCTGAGTCTGGGGCTTGAGCACAGGTATGCTCCCCTTGACTTGGGCGTCGGGCGCTTCTCTGTAGAGGAGGAAGCTACGTCAAGTATGCGAATTGGCACGTTATCATTCGAGGAAATGTCATTGAATCATAACTATATCTTGCTAGTTCGTGCGAATGCGTTCGTCCTTTGTTCAGCGCTGCTCTTGGACTGTTAGTTTCAAGTTTTGGTTGCATGGCTGCATGTTCGGTGCTGTCATTTACTTATTCTGAATTCTAAGTTGTTCGTGTATGGAAGCGTTTCTGTGATGTGTACGCCATTTCCATTTTTTGACCTGCTTAGCTGTACTTCGAAGTAAACTTAACGTCAGATAGTATGCATCAATGATTTCGGTCTAGTCGTGACAATGAAGATTCAATGTGTAGACCTATGCGGCTTTGAAATTTAAGAAAATGCTGTTGACACTTCAACTTTTTTTTGTGTGTAGAACAGTCAGACGATCCTATCATTGAAGATGGGAAGGATGATAACAACGACGATGATAAGGAAGAGGACGAGGATTAGGGAGACAATGGACAAGATGCAGACAATCTGACTGAGGGCGATAAGTCAAAGCAGGGTCGTTCTGAGAAGCAGAGCACGAAGGCCATGCAAAAGCTTGGAGTGAAGCCATTGACGGGTGTCACAAGGGTGACAATCAAGGAGAGCAAAAACGTATACACCGGCATCTCATTCTCATCTGTTTACGTATCTCCCACTTTGTGAATCTTCACCGTCTTGGTTTCAGGTAGAGGGTTACGGAAATAATTTCGTGCACTTTCCTAGGTTATGTTCAAAGTTTTAGTTTGGGACTCACATGTCTTTTGTGTTTCCTCCGTTGCTTATGAAGTTTTTAATATGTGCAGATCCACTTTGTGATTTCAAAGCCTGATGTGTTCAAGAGCCTGGTCTCAGACACACATAATCTATGGAGAGGCTAAGATCGAGGACTTGAGTTCTCAGCTTCAGAAGCAAGCAGCATGGCAGTTCAAGGGACCAGAAATGGCCAACCTAGAATCCAAGGCTGAGCTCTGTTTTGCCATTGAGACTGAAGGTGACGACGATGTGGATGAGGCAGGTGTGGAACCTAAGGACATTGAGTTGGTAATGACACAAGCAGGAGTTTCTCGTGCAAAGGGCTGTCCGGGCCCTTCAGGCAGTATCCGGAGATATTGTTCGTGCCATTATGGACCTTACAGGTTAAGGGTAGGATTATTGAAATGACATGTGAGGTTTTTCCATGTTTTTGCTCATGGAAACCATTTTCTCAATATTGAGAAATCACCATCACGTCAGTTTGGTTGCGCCAATCTTCCCTTGTTTATCTGTGCCTTCTCAGGAGTGTCCTGTGATTTGTCTGTGTGAATGACCTGAGTAAGATCTAGGATTTGATTTGCACTTTTTTTTTGAGACCTCCATCATGTCTTTTTACACGTACATGATTAGATCAAGACTTAATTCTATGCATTAGCTTTTCTTTGTTTTTGTTGATTTTATCTCTTGTGCCAGTGACTAAACATCGATTTTTTCATTCAGTGAAGTCCGCAAATCAATCAGTTTGATGATATGCTTGTTCTGTGTGGCGGAGGCTGATCAGAAGCTTCCAAGGGACAATCCCTCCTCAAATTTTCCTATAATTAGGCTGATGAGTAGTGTGTCAACATGAACCCGGTACATGCATGACTTTAAAGCAGTCGTTTGCATTAAATAAATAAATTCCAAAAGAAACAAAAAAAAATCGATTATTTGAAATTATTAATAGGAAAATATTTTAATATGTGAAAAGCGGGTTCTTTTTTTTCCCTCCTTCCAAACACTAAAACAAAAACCTTGGAATCCTATTAAAGTATTTGGATTTAATTTTTATACTCTGGTATATATATATATATATAGAGAGAGAGAGAGAGAGAGAGAGAGATATATACACACACATATATTACAATGACATTTAAAATAAATGCTACCAACCATTTTATAGTCCACATACAATTTATAAAAATAGATTTAGCACAAAATTTTTATTTCAAAACATAACTTTAATTTTAGAACTTAGATAGAAAAGAGAATTACAATAAAAATACTGATATTTTTGATGTATTGTACTCAAAATTATTCCCTAAAAATCTTTAGATAAAATTTCAATTTTTTTCCGATTCACAGAAACCAAAGAAATTTTACCTTTCTAACTACTTTTGTGTACTCGGTAATGAATAGGTCGTTATCCAATTGCGAATCCTCCATGTACATTTATATACCTATCTATCTAATTTTGGATATTTAGCGTATTAATTAGACTAGTAAAGCCAAACCTAAGACAAGATTATCTAATCACAACAACGTTGAAGCAACGTGAGCTTCACTGTGTATAAGCTTGTGTATCATGCAACCTCATGGACGATGGAGGAAAAAATCACTACGCAACAATTTAATTACTAATCCTCCAATGCTCGTGTTCTAAACTTCTTCATTGTCACTGGTATTTTTAGAATTACACTTATGTGCTATGGTGAATCTGTGATGGTCTGGCATCCTGAAATAAAGAGTGGGAGTTTCTGTGCTTTACTTTTGAGGTCCATTTGGACAACGGTACTTGAAGATATTGAATTTTTCCCCTCTCCTTTTTGATAAGCTCTGATGTGCGAAAGTGTGGGCGGAGCCTGCCAGTTTGTGAATGCCACACACCAGGTGGGTCTACTAATTATAAGATTGTGTGTGTCAGACGCCGGTAATTCACGTACATCGAACAGACAGCATGACTATTTCTATGGCTTGTGCACGTACAGAAAGCCCTTGTCCTATATGGACGATTATTAGAGCGTTGCAACGAATGTTTTGCACGAATGGGTAGGGGATGGTGTTTCACGATGACCCATGAAAAGAAAACAAAGGAATCATGTGACCTGTTGCAGATAAGAGGACAGTTTCCCCCTCGGGTTTCAGATGGATATCTATATGGGAACCCGAAGGCGATCACATGTTCATGTTGCAAAAGTAGCGTGATTCCAAATCGGCAACTAAGTTACCCAGAGCATGGAAACCTTTGAATTTTATTTGTGTTTCCGATGATGGAACTCCCTGTGAGTGTGTGTGTGTGTGGAACTACCTTAACGCTATTAGTCTGAAGAGAGCAGCAATCAAGGCCTGCTTCAGTTGAAACATGCAACGATTCTTCCCTCAGTAAGCAGAAAGAATCTCAACTTGAAAACTGAGGGCTCTTGTGGGAGGAATCCGCTTACAGACTGCCGCCGTAGACAGGATTGATATTACAAGCTGATGCAGGGAAGACCTATCGCACATGCTAACGAGATGTTCCGACAAACATGAGTCCGAAAGAAAGAAGCCAGTGTCTGATCGCGTTGATGTGCATTGCACTACCAATCAGAAGCGGCAAACACTCTGGACTCGAGCTGATACGTTTTAGTGAAGAAGAAAGGCCAACTCAAATAGGTCGCCAGTACGCCGCTGAATGTCGCAGCGCCGAGAAGCATGTTCATGACGACAATTTGCAGCTGGATTGCCTCCATTGGAGAGGCTCCGCCCATTATGAGCCCTGTCATGGCGCCCGGGAGAGAAATCAACCCCACGGTCTTGGTGTTGTCGAGAACGGGGGAAAGACCAACCACTAAGGCGCGCCGCACTTGCTTCAGAGCCGCTTGTCTCGGCGTTGCCCCAAGTGCGAGCGCGGTCTCAATCAGCCCCTGCTGCAATCGCATGTCCTCGCGCATCCTCTTCAACGTCACGCCCGTGACCGTCATGGCGTTTCCTACCATCATGCCCGCCACTGGGATGATGTACCTCGGAGTGAAGGGAAATACCCGCAATGCGATAAGCAGCCCCATCGTCAAACCCGTCCCCCCCAAAATCGAAGCTCCTGAAACCCACCCGCCATTAGATACATGCACCGCCCTCTTGCCGGCTGTATACCCAGCAACGGTCACCATTATGCAATAAGCTAAGAGGATCCATAGCACGTTTGTTTGTGTGAAAATAAATTCTAGGACAAAGCCAATGATCGAGAGCTGAAGGAAAGCTCTCGCTACAGAATACGCCATCTCGCGCTCAATCCCAAGTCTCTGCGAGTATGACACAACGACAGCTACCCCCACGACTGCCAGCGCTAGGATAGGTCGCAGCATTCCCTTTGCAAATTCATCCCACAGTCTCTTCCAGTCCATCTCGAAAAACGCTGCCTCCATCGACCCTGTCATAGTGTGATTCAGCGCCATGGTGGAAGTTTTCTAAACTGAAGAAGGATCTAAGTGAGAGAATGAACTTAAGTGTGAGTGGAGAATGCAGGAAACATGAGAATAAGCTTCTCGAAATGCACAACAGACTTTCAATGTCTGTGGCTTTATCAGCTTTAGAATGTTAACTTTTCTGACGTCATTTGCTTTTCCTCTAAACCACAAAACAACAGAGACTAGGGTTTCGCATATACCTTCCACATTTTCGCCACAAATCGAGGCGTCAGTGGCTTTGTGAAATTTCCTTTGGGGCTTGGAATTCCCAACTCTTCGAAGGAAGCATCGAAACGTGCGGCGGTTCACCTGCAACAGGATTCGAGCGACGAAGAAGCACTGAATCCGAGCTTGTGATGAGTGCCGAGTAAGAGTTGGGGGAAAATTAGGTTTGAGAGGGATTCGGGTGTGACATTCGCGTCTCCTCTCAACGCATTGCGATGAGTGGGTGTTCTGGTCCTCTCTGCAGCGTGCCAGCTTCTAATTTTCGATGCAGCGTAAAATTTTCGGTATTGGAGGATTCTGTAGGAACCAGAATATGGAGAACGGGGTTATGCCAGGGAACTGTGGCGCTTAAATCGCGTAGGTTACTTGCTCATAACGGGTATGTGATTCCTTTCTCTTAATGAGTTCATCTCCACTCTAAAATAGAAGTGTGGTCGGAATTTGTCAATTTTCGAATGAGCGGTGCTCCCGATTCTGGTTCAATCTACCCTGTAGAAACCAATGCCAAAAGTATGTAGATTGTTGAAATCACACGATTCCCGCCTCGCACGGTTGACATGTCTCAAGAGGGCTGCATCGCAGACAGTCTGATAATTGCTTGATACCAAGTAGTGTTAATTTTTTCGCTAGTACTGCAAAATGTGGCTGTCTAAGAAAACACATTTTCGTCTGTTTTTTTCCGCTTTTTAGTAGTTTAGCAATCTGTTCACTCAAACCCTAGCACGGTCTCATGTGTTGAGTTGCAATTGCGCAGGAAGTTCTTTGAGGTGAAGTTGGTAGGTGATTCATCACGACCTGCTAGAGGTGTTGGTGTTGGCCGAATCTGCGCAGTAAGAACTGATGAAGAGAGACCAAGACGTCGTTCAAAATCACCTAATTACCCTCCACGAAGTCCTCCTGGTTCCTTAAATTCTGACTTGGAAGAAGAGAACGTGCTTCCATTATTGAGAGGGGCCTCGCGAAGGTTAGTATGGTGACTCTCTAGGCTACTTGCTTCAGCTAAGCAGTTGTCATATTCATCGCTTTCAATTATTCTTTTGAACACCTTGCTCTCAAATTTAACAGTACATTTTTCCCCGTTTCGTAAGTATGATTTCTCATGTATTGGAGGCTAGTGTGTTGCATTAAACACCAGAATATGTTACTGAAGTAGTGGAGATAGTGAAGTGGAGTTGTGCATTGGATTTGCTCAGCTTGAAATAAGCAGCGAGATGCTTGATCTTCAGGGATCCGAACATGGAAGCGGACGGTGGTTACATTTCATCACTTGATGACTATGATGAAGAGGAGGGAGAGTTTGATGAAGAGGTTGACGACAAGGAGGGTGAGGGCAGGATTGAGCCTCTACTTCGTCTATTGAGAGGAGCCAACCGATACATTCTTGCAGGTAATTTCATTACTTGAACCTTGAGTTTAACATGAGTCTTGCTATAATGACTGCGATGTGGTTTGATATGCAGCTGTTTAGCTAGGGCTTGAGTAACGCTGTGATGTGAATAACGGCCAGCTCAGTAATGGAGATCATAACGTGAATTCTTTTCTTGTGTTAAAAGTTTTTTATGAGGTAGAAAATTCTTTGAAGCTGTCACTAAATAATCAGTATGGACTTGCATTTATGCACGAAGTGATCATACAACAATCCATAACAGCATCGACTCCTAGGTCATCTTTTTGTCTTGTGAGCCTTACTGCTTGAAGTCTCTGAACTTCACTGTAGGTATGTTCGTTTTGGGAATGGGGGCAGGCATCACTGTTGATACAGTCCTTAACGTGGAGCCTAATAACGTTGCATCTCGCGAAGTGATAGATCGTCAAACTCCAAACCCAGATGTATGCATTGCTAATGGAATGAGCGCCATGGTGCTAGACCAGCGCCTCTTTATCTCTTTTAATCCGTGAGTACAATTAACTTTCTTTCCTCATTAGATTTCTCCTCGTGAAACACTCTCACAAGCAAATATTCATTGTGATGGGTTTCGATTGTCTTGTTTTGATTTAATTCTCATTTGCCATGCACGCACACAAATGGCAGATTCAATGTGTACGTGTCGCAGACTGAGGTGAAGCCTGGATGTGTCTTGAGGCAAAGTAACTGGAGTGTGCTGGAAGCCCGGGGTTTAGTGACGTCTGACGAAGTTCGAGCATGTAAACGCAACATGAATACGTTTGGCTTCGTGGGCGATCTTCGCCAAGCCCCTGAAATCTCTTGCGTGTACCACAGTGAGAGTGCTGAGAACCAGTTTCTGAAGGACCCTTCCAAGGCCACTCTCGGTGATGGATACCAACCCAAAAGCTTCGGAGAATGAGATAAATCACTTTGGGCAAACCTACTCGTAGAGTCATATTGTAGGATCCATATTGGCTTATGGTATCTGTATTGTATTTTATAACCATGGATTGTATCATAGAGGACTGGCACACGAGCTAGCAACATTTTCGATCGCCGCTGTGACAACTAGAGTCCATAGCAGCAGTTTAAAGCAGTTGCATTGATTTAAGGATAGACTTATACGATTTATTCGGCGACCTCTAATCATGTTCTCAGTGGCCTACATAGTGGTCATTGCAGCCTCAAGTTGACGTTTTACTCGATCAGATGAACAGATGTAAGGTGAAATGATTGTGTTCGAAGATTGAGACTGCGTGTCACGGACAATTTATTTTCTTGGTGTCAAAATTTGAGACTGTGCAACCCTTAGTCATGGGATGCATTTGACGCCATGGCAGCAGGTTTTGACTCTAGATCAGAAAATAAATCCAAGTGACAATCGGTGAATGCGGCGTCTGCACAACCTGGACATTGACGTGGATTGATCATCATTGACTGGTTCGTTGCTACATCTACATAAAACTCTAAGGCCTCATGCAAGAGACAAAATACTTAACTAGAATCATATGAAGTCGAAGAGGAGAGGGTTAATGTCGAGTGAACTGAACAATTCATCATAACAATCATCAATCTCTAATAAAAAATAGTATCAAATTGTACTAAAACGTTTGTAATAGGTATTCAATCTAAATCAAGAATTTGGTGAGGTTTGAAATTCATCTATATGCTTACTTATCCTAGTAGTTCAAGGCTATAAGGCATCTATAGGCATCTGTAAGCATCCATAAGCATCATCTATATGCTTGCTTATAAGACAATGCATTCATTTATATGCCTGGTTATAAGACAATGCATCCATCTATGAATCCAAGTAAAAATACTTAGGCTCACAATGATATGTCTTTTATAAGATGTGCAACAAAAGTAAAGATCAAATCTAAGATAGATAATAATAAAAAAAAATGATTAAAATAAAATTATTATGAAATAAAGACATGAATTTTTTTTTGTAATTATATTGTATAGACAAAGTGTGCATATATGGTTAAAGATTTTTCAAAAGTGATATCTAAAAATCTTAAAGGTTGAAGAATATATATGATATTTGGTAAATTAAATAATATCTTTTTATTAAATTTTAATTTTAATTTTACAATGCAATGATGTAATATTATATTGACTTTAAGTTTAATTTTTATTATTGGATTCTAAATATCATATTATTAGATACTTTATTAATATATTGATGAATTAATACTTTATATTATACAAATTATTTTTATTTTTTTCAAATAAATTTCTTTCTTTAAAAGATATTGATTGATTTTAGAACATTAAATATTTATATTAAACACTAAACTTTGTAATTATCTTAAATTTATTTAATTATTAATTTTTATATAATTAAAATATGCCATTAATAGGTTTATACAAGAATATTGTTAATTGGCCCAATTGATCTAAGGGAATTTAAAAGAATCAACTTAATAAAGAAATTAAGATCAATGGGGTCCAAATAGTAGAAGATAGGTTTGGGATACTTGACCTATATAAGAATCCAATCAATAGGATATAAATAGTAATAATCAAATTAAAAATATCCAATCTAAGTAAAAACTAGACATTATAAAGTTTGGAGAAGAATAGATTAGGTCTTTTACAAAGAGACAATTAACCATGTGTACATAGTTAAAAATAATATAAGTAATCACAAAGGCCAAAGGTTACAAGTGTGCATGTGTGTAGAGAGCAAGAGAGAAATCAAACATTAACAAGTGTCTTATACAAGATAATAGAATTATTATTATTATTATTATAAAAATAGTAGTTTTTCTTAAACTATTATTAAATCTCTATAATTTTTTAACTTGCTACTTTGTCTCTCTTCTAGTTATTGGATGTAAATCCTATTGTGGCCACCTCTATTGAAGTTGACTAGTATGCAATCCAACTCAACTAGTAGTTTGTATTTAACTCCTCTTAATAAGAGTTTTGTTTATAACTTGTCAACTTCAATATGAAGTGATTGATACCAATAGATTATTATTCAATGAGAAGAGTTATCACCAACTATTGATTTAATGTGACAACATACCATCTCCAAATTAAAGTTAAGTCTAGAGAGAGGCTCATAATTCCTTGGACTTTTTACCTACTTATAGCCAAGTCAATGGAATTTAGACTTTTAAGTCTTTTACATAATAAGTTTTATTCTTTTTTTTTTGTATTGATGCATATTACTAATTTAAATAGTTCTATTCATCAAATTATTATTTGGTCACTAAAAAAATTAAATTTAACAAATATCACCTTGTATATATCAATTAATCATTTCTAAAAATACATATCTAAAACAAATATTAGAAAAAAACTTATATAAGAATGATAAATTGAAAAAATAATAAAAAATATAGATTGATTTGAAAACATGATTATTTAGATCTAGATTGTAATTTGTAATAAGTATTTTATAGATATTACTATCTTTTCTATCATTGTGAAAGATGTCAAAAAAACAAGTAGTAACAGATTTATTACAAAATTTGACAAAGAACATAAAATTAGAAATTTCAGAAGTATTGGTGCAAAAATTGTATTTTGTGATGGTTAATAGAATATTAAAGGAAAATTTAGTATGTCATAGAGTTGAATGATTAAAAAAAAAAAAAAAAAAAAAAAAACTATATAAATAAAAGTTGCATAACTGTATGGAAGGGTTTTTTTTTTTTTTTTTTTTAAATTTTATTTATTTATGAAAATGTACATGCAATATATTTTTTTTCTTACAAAAACTTATTTGAAGAATATAAAGAATATAGGTGTTTGGTGCATTTATAATCTTTTAAGTATTTAGGGTGCTTAGCAACTTATTTTTACAAAAACATATATAAGTTATCCATGGGAATTTTACAGTAAAATTAAACTTTGAGTTTATAAATCAAAATTATGAAAATTTTTATAATCTTTAGATCCATAAAATTAAAAATGGTTTTACATTCAAAATTTATTATTCAAAAAATATATATTAATAGAAAATCTCATCATATATTCAAAATTCTATTTTTATATTTATTTTTCGTAATAATATATTAATTTCTTTATTTTAACACCTTAAAATTTTATAATTAAATATTTTTTCATATTTTCAAAAAAATTATAAAATAAATATATGATAAATTAAAGTAAAAACAATTCTTTATATATATATATATATATATATTTTTTTATTTTACAATATTATTTTAAAATATAAATATTTTGATTTTAAAATAAAATTTTAGAAATTAAATATATATAAATATATATATATATATAGCTACAGAGTTTTTAAAGCAACTTCCTTATATTGTTAAAGCCACATCCCATGTACATACACCCTAGCTATTCCAATGCTCTCCCTTGCTATTGTCCACTTGTATTTACTCTAGCTCTTCCTTGGTGCTCTCAACTTGTATCCATTCTTGCTCTCTCTTGTTGCCCTCCACTTGTGTTTATTCTAACTCTTTGTTGTTGCTCCCAACTTGTATCCATTCTTGCTCTCTCTTGTTGCCCTCCACTTGTGTTTATTCTCTCTTTGTTGTTGCTCCCAACTTGTATCCATTCTTGCTCTCCCTTGTTGCTTTCCACTTGTGCATACATACTAAATTCTCACTCCCAATGCTTCACCTACTTGAATGTGAGTACAAGTCATTAGCCAACCATTTCCAAAATAATATGGGAGTGTTGCTTTGGAAATTTCCATTTATGAATATATTACTTTAAGTATGTTTTTTTTTTTTTTTTTTTTTTTTTGATTATTATAATCTACCAAGAAGTCAAAATTTTAAAGAAAAGCATAAAACTTTACTAAAAAGCATTTTTCTATATCTTTTATGACCAAAAACTAAGAAATGTGCATATTCCTATTTATTATTTGCATAGGTTTCCAAAAAACAACAGTTTGAATCTATCCTTTTGCCATTTTACAAGAAACATCACATTTTAAAAGGGAAACTTTCAGGTATTGCCTTCCAAAGCTAGGATTACTCAAATATGTATGTATGTATGAATACATATACACACATTAATTTCAATAATTGAAACAAAAAAAAATCAGGAAATGAATCACTCGAGGTTTTTTGCACATGAATTAGTAAAAACATGCATTAATAAATGCTTGGCTGGCATACTCTAGGGCCTTTATTACAAGCTTCTCAACTGAAAGAAATTCCATTCCCAGCTTCCAGCACGAGACAAAGCTCGTCCCCCACCACAAGACGGCCCCTCCGTGGTCTTCGACGCATCGTAGTCACGGAGTTGTTGGGGTGGACAGTCATTGCATCCATCATTACTGGATCGATGTTCGGCGTTCAATCTGAGGATGTGCGATAGGCAATCCACGTCAGGCACCATTATCGTCGTTACCCAGTTATCAGATTCGACGGAAAAGCACGCACGTCATAGGAATCCACGGAAGAATCGTGCACCAAGCTTTTTTCCGCCCTTGACCCGCGGCGTATGAATATTCCGCGACGAATTTCAGTGATCCCGGTTTTACTCAAAACAGAAAGGTCCCGGATCATCGAAGAATTATGGAAGAGAAGCAATCAATTCGATGAATCGTGGGGGGTAGCGTAACTTTACCCCTTGCGTTTGGAAGCATTCGACGTCAATAGCGGTAGCAGCAGCAGCAGTGAAAGTGCCGTTGCCGTTGCCATTGTTGTATCCTACCAGATGTAACCTACGATCCGAGCGTCGAAGCCACAGCATTCAGGTTCATACATCTGCTCGTCGTCGGTCATCTGGAGTTCATCCACATCCCCCCGTTGGACGAAACCTAAACGTGCACACTTCCTATCTCATGACGTCCAGATGAGGAGGATGACTTTGATGGGTGAAGCGAATTCTAGGGTGCGAGCTTTATGCGGTCGAGGGTTGCGATAATGTGCAAGTTTAGATCATGAGGTTCGACATTGGAGATGGGATACATATTAACATGCGTTGTGTAGGAGATTCTGTTGCTTGAGTCTGTCGATTCTTTGTTGGTGTCGAGAGGGGGCGGAGGAGAAGGAGGTTGTGGATTTTGGGTTGTTTTTTGGGTCGCGATGGCGAACACAGAAGAGCACCAGAATGGTGGGTATGCTCTATTGGGCGACGAGGAGGGAGGGATGTCTGAACGTTCGGGGCTGTTGAACGGGGCTGTGAAGCTGGTGGCAGCTGAGGTGTCGGATGATGCGGTGTTGGGTGCGTTCCCGGGGAGCATCAAGTATTTGATATGGAATGAGTTTTGCGAACGCTTTTGCTTTTACGGCATGAAAACCATCTTGGCGCTCTATTTGGTGCAGCACCTGCTGTTGAGCGAGAACGAGTCGACTGAGCTCGTGCATCTCTTCATCGTGGCGTGTTATGCTACGCCAATCATTGGCGCATTTCTGAGCGACTGCGTTTGGGTTCGTTTCGAGTCTACCATTCGTGTCGTCTAAGTACACATGCCATTTGATATTTGACATTGTAACAGAAAGCATTTCGTGAGTTTTTATCGCTTCTGGGAATTGTTCAGAAAGGTTCCGTGTTGAGTGTAGAAGTATCTTTGTATGCTCACAGGATTGTCCAACTGGAATGACGGACGTGCTTTGATGTTGTCGTTTTCATCACTCTGTTTCATAATTCGAAATTCATCGTAAAAGCAATAGGTGTACAAGGTTTGGTTGTTATCGAAGTTGCTGTTATGAGATGATCGCTTAAGGTTTAGGGTTTCGAAAATGTGCAGGGAAAATACCGCACCATCTTGTACTTATCAGTAATCTACTGCCTCGGCAACTGGGTGATGGCCCTCTCGGCATTACCTGAACCGGACCCCAGCACTCGAACCACGCTCTTCTGGTCAACATCTGCTGCACTAGGCCTAATCGCCTTTGGCACGGGCGGAATTAAACCTTGTGGTGCAGCCTTTGGAGGTGATCAAATACAGTATACTCTCCCAGATGGTCCATTAAAAGAGCGCATCCAGCGCCGCTTCTTCTCTATGTATTACCTTTCTGTGAACGTGGGGTCCTTCTTTTCAACTGTCGCGGGCCCTTATTTCCGCATTCACTATTCGTATTCCTTCGCATTCGCGGTTCCTGCCGTGTTCATGATGATCGCTTTGCTTATCTTCTGGTTCGGCCGGAAGACATATTACCATCAACCTCCACAGGGCAATGTATTTGCTGAAGTTGGGAGTGTTGTCGTGGATTCTGTCAAGTTTCGGGACAGACGTGGAGAGGGCAGCCACTGGCTGGACGGCGCTAAGGTTAAGCATAGCTCTCAAATCGTGGACGACGTGAAGGGGCTTGTGCGTGTGCTTGTCTTGCTACTTCCAACCCCAGTCTTCTGGGCCCTTTTCGATCAGCAATCCTCGAAGTGGGTGTTTCAAGCAGAAACTCTTGACGGCAGCGTCCCCTGGTTCTTCAATATCACCATCCAGCCTGACCAGATGCAGGCAAGTCCTTTTTTTTTTTTTTGCCTTTTTTTGCCTTTTTTTTTTTCCTAGTTTTCCCGCGGTTCTTTTTCATAAACATCAGTCAGAATTGCTGAAAGGACCCACAGTTTGAGATGTTGTAAGGAAATTTTAGCCAATTCTGTCATTTATCCGTATCCGCTTTGGTTTACATCCCAAACAGTTCTCTTGTTATCTAATGACTAAATTATTAGCCTGTGATTGCCGAGTCGATATCTAGTGAATAAGGTCACTTATGTTGCTCTGTGTTACTGGTTTCTCATTCAATGTGAATATGTATACACACAGGCACTCAATCCAGTCTTCATTGCGGCAATGATCCCACTCTTCGACTTGCTGATCTACCCTTTTTTTGAGAAGCGAGGGTTTTCACTGCGTCCCATTTCCAGGATGGTAACCGGAATGATTCTTTGCGCACTTGCATTCCTCCTCTCTGGCTTACTTCAGCAAGCAATTGATGCACAAGGCTCGTCGAACCAGCCGTTGTCAATGCTTTGGCAGATTCCGCAATATGTGATAATGACGGCCGGAGAAATTATGTTCAGTATCACCGGTCTCGAGTTTGCGTACTCTCAAGCCCCTGATTCCATGAAAGCTGTTGTGCAGGCTGCATGGCTCTTCACTGTATCTGCAGGTAAAGCGCACACAATACTAGCACTACTCATTGCAATTTGACCCTTGAGATTATCGTGATCCATGTCTATTTTTATTTTTATTTTTTTTCAAGTAAGCAGGTATTTGTATCCGCACTGGTTGTGGTGATCAAGCCCACTGCTACCTGCACAGAAGTCTTATAACTCTCACTGGTGGCTTGGAAATGCAGGCAATTTTGTGACAGTAGCGCTTGTGGCTATAATTGGAAATAGTCTCTCGAAGGCAAATGAGTTCTACGTCTTTGCTGCTGGGTGTTTCTCAGCCATGTTGTGCCTCTTGTGGTTAGGTGCCTCTTTTCAGTACAGGTCGGTGAATCCACCCTCCACAGAGCCTTCTCTCGAAACGCTCATTACCCACGCTGCTGATGACCGCGTCTATGTTGGTTAAGTAGCTGGTGCTCATGGCATCGATCCGTTTTTAGCTGTACATACATGCAGGGAGACATTGATTACTTCATTCAGTTCACGACTCGCTGAGTTCACAAGCGTGGTATTAGCCCGTGACGTAGATGAGAAGAAATTTTCTTCGATGCTCAACAAATGGTGGAATCATTATTCCCACAACGTCCGGTCTCATCTGCAGTGCGTTCTCTTAGTAAAGATCATCGAATAAAATTAGCAGAGGCGGTAAATAACTTAATTTGTTTTGAAAAAAATTGTGAATAGATTCGATTATTTTGTTATCTTTATTTAGTCGGCAGTTGAGCAGAGCATTGCTGAACGATTTCTGGTGCCTGATTTAGGCTCCACGATTTGTTTAAAATCTCACTGATGCATCAAAAAATTACATCAAGATTTTAAAATTGTTCAATTTTTTTACCATTCGAACGTTCAATTTTTCGGGCAAAGATTGCTTATTTGGGTTTTGAATCCTTAGTCTTGCCACCAGCTATTTTTTTATACTGGTTAGGTAGTATGGAACCCTTTGCTATAACAGTGCGTCTGTATGAGTATTTGCAAACCGTAAATTGCCCAAAGTTGATGTGCACATTCAATAGAAGGAGGGAATTGGTCATCAGCGACTAAAACACATCGATTAGTACTGCTACTTATCTGCTCTTTTGATGTTGATTTCCAGACGACAGACATACTTGATATTTTCAGAAAAACTGGGAAATTGGGGGGTGAAAGTTGGCAAATTGGTTGCTATACTACAACAGCAAATGGCATGTGCTCATATCAGATACGACAACATTGAGAAATAACAATGATTTGCTTATCACTTGTTAGAAAAAACCTTCACAAGTATCCAGTGCATAAACTCAGCTTCACGCTGAAGCATTTACTACCAAAGTTCCAAACCAACTCTTGGTACATGATGGAGAAAGAAATATTTCGGCATCGCCATTTTCAAGGAGGTTACTGTACAAAGGTGCTAAACTAAGTTTCTTCGTCACTATCATTCTTAAACACAGATGCGACTTTGGAGGCCACTTTGGTCTTTTTTATAGCAAGCCCCATCGACATCTGCAATGCCGACAAATTTACAAATCAGGATCTTTTGTTCACTAGTAAACCATAGCGAAGAGGACTTTTCACTTTGAATCCATAAAACAGGTCCTGAAAAGAGCCTCTTTTGGTGGTACTCAGTGCAAAGTGCTCTTAAATATCACTCTGAACGCTTTAAGACAAAAAGACGATTCAACACCCACTAAGATGTCAAAAAGACGGTCAATATACAGAATCACAAATACTAAAAATAATCACCTTGGAAGCAATTGGTTTAGAGCCAAAGCCAAATTTCAAAGTGGGACGTTGCTCTTGTACAATTTCCATTGTCCCACTGCTTCCAGCAGCTTTAGCCTCCATCTGTAGGCGTTGTGCCTCAGCCCTGGAAAAAGAGAAGAAAATTCAGCATAACGAATGTAACAACGTAAGAATGCCATCGTTGCTTAGCATCTCCAGCATAATCAATCATGGTCATATCAAAAGCTGACAATATACACATACAGTTGAGCAAATCTAGCCAACTCCTTCTCTTCACGAGCTTGCTCCCTCTTTTGTCGCTCATCCCTATTTCGGCCCCCTTGGGATTCACGCATCTCCTTGAAACGCTACAAGCCACATAACAAAAAATAAATAAAAATAGTGGAACATGATTGTGTAGAACTGGATATCTAAATTCCTCAACATGAAGGATTCCACACATGTATAATTGAAAAGAACCACACTGATCACAAGCCCCGTACCTTTTTGTGATTGTGGTCATAAGAGCTGAGATGTGTTTCAAACTCGGTAGCCAGCTTATACTGCTTGTTGCAGAGTTCGCAATAAAAGACGCGATGAATCTCTTTCACCTCATTTTGTATTTTCGTTTCACGCTCAGCGACAACCTGTGACGGACGCAACGAGCCGGAAAAGGCCATCCGGGTAATACAGCGCACCACATATGGACGAGAGAGCCACAGCCTTCTCTCTCAAAATATTTTTCCAGGAAAACACTCTCTTGCAACCTATAGCTGCTTGCTCCTTTATCGAGATGTTCCAAATAAAATGACCCTTCCACCCATTAGCCTCTCTTTATCGGTGTTCTAACCTGCACTTCTATTACTATAACATGTCTTATATTCACCATAATCGTTCACTCTTGCACTGCCTTTCGTCCTGACGATTTACAACACTACATTTACAGGCTACCTTACACCCATATTGAAGGTAACACACATTATCAGAAATGGAATTCAATTATCAGATTCGGGTGTTTTTTTGCAGATATTACTAACTTCAAGCGCCGACTTCTTAGTGTACTAAATGTAAGTATTTCCATGTAACATTATATACTTGTAAATAGAAGGAATTGATACACACCTCACGTTTCTTAGCCAGTTCCTCTGTTTCTTCCACTTCCACGTCAAGTTTTTTGCGGTGGATGTTTTCCTCTGCTGTATAAAAGTCATCTTGCTCTTGCTTCCCCACTCCAAGCTTTGCGTCTCGAACACCAGCTTTGATTGGTTCAACAATACCTACACACAAGAAAGAAAAACAAGGTTTACTTCATTGCTTTAATCTTCAATAAATCTCAAGCGAAATGCGAAGGTAACAAAGATTATAGTTGCGAACCAAGAAGAGCAACAAACGAGAACAAACAAGACACGGGTTTGTGAGACACACCTTGTTCGTTTTTACCAAGCCCTTTCCCTCTCCACCCCATCTTCTGGAGGAGGCGAAATCCAATGTTGGACGAGGATAGAGACGTATGGACTGAGGCCTGCTCAAGGAATTCCGTGTTCAAATTTTCTACAGGCCGGTGAGTGATAGGCAGCCTAAATTCTTCACCCAGATCATCAGCCAACGAATCTTCATACGCCTGCAATCAATATAGAAACAGCCATTGCTGTCAATGGTGAATAATAACTAACAAATCTAAATCATTTCATATTGGGAAAAAAATATAACAATTAATAATAAACGATAATAGTAAATGATAGAATCGGGTCGCAAAACCATGGAGCTCAATGTCATAGACACGCATTCAGATCCGTCGTTATCATGTGAAAATCAGATCCACATGATAGATATCATTTCGAAATACGAGCTTTTTACCTGTTCACGCTCTCTCTGCCGTTGCTCTTGCGCGAACACTGCATAACCACCACCCTGCCGTCTGGAAGGATCCATGACTATCTACAAACACGTCCTACAAAATGCCAAATTCGAAAAGCCCCCAAACCGTGACTGCATCAAATCTACAAAAAACCCAACGTTGACCTCGCCCATTAACACTTGAAAACACCACCTACTTTCTCCATCTGTACAATCCCACATATGCCATAGTCACTCGGGCATTTTCACTCCATCACGGGAAAAAACCCTAAAAGGCAAACACCACCAACTCCTCCTCCCTCTGGATTCCTCTCCCAATCGCACCAACATGCAATCCCTCCCAAGTAATCGAAACTCCACCGAAAAGTTTTCCAAAAACAACAAAATCTATTCCTTCTAAAAGCGCTTCAAATCACTCCTGGAGAAGAAAACGGCAGCGTACCCAATTGAAGATCAGGAGAGCCTCGTCCGCCCCGCAACCCAACAGGTCGGAATTCTGTCCAGCGCTCCTCCAGCCGAAGATGTGGCCACGATGTCTCACTCCACGCCCATGAGCTTTGGTGCGAGAAGAGCTGACGTGACCCTATTGGATGTGGATGAATGATATTTGATGATTCTCTTGGATGAATTAAGAGGGTGCGGTTTTGTTCATACGCAGTGCTGCTCCGGAGTAATCGTTTGTGGATGAATGATTAGCATTCGGACACGTCGGCATCGCAGTTCATTTCTGATGTAAATGTAGTTTGATAACATTTTATTAATATTTTTATTTTAATCTTCTAATTGAATTTAAATCATTTAAATTATATTTCTTATGCAACTGGCTTGAATTAACATTATTTGTTGTCTGTAGATATGAGAAATAAATTGGCCTCTTTTGTAAGATAACAAAAATTTGCTTACATATCATGAACGTTGTTTTGTGCTAATGGTTATTAGTTAGGAAAAAAATTATTGTAATAATAATGGGATTGAGGTTATACATATGCCATTTTAAAAATTTCTAACATTGTGTTTTAAGAAGTTCAAATAATGATATAATTCCAAAAACTTTGGTCTAAATTTTAACAATGACAAGCTTTTGAAGTGTCTTATCAAAAGACTGTAGCAAGTTTTTTTTTAATTCCTTTCACATATTACAAATATATATATATATATATATATATATATCGTATAAGATAGCTTGGGTACAAGACAAAGAGACAAATAAGTCTTCCAATTGGATGTGAAGAAGGGAATGCCAAGAACTTGGGGAACATGAAGAACCAAGGAACATGGAGAACATGAAGAACAAAAGAACATGGGGAATATGAAGAATCAAGGAACATGGGGATGAGAGAATAGATGGATGTATTAGAGATTGCAATGCTCAATAGGGTTTTTGCTAGTATATACATATATACATATACACAATATTTCAAAAAATGAAAATGATAGTAATTTAAAACTAAATTGATTTCAGTTGTAAAATTTTGATATTAGTTATTGTAACAGTATTTCATAATAAAGCTTCTAATAGATCATTTTACAAAAACAATGAACTACTAAATGTATGTATAAAACATGTTAATTTATGTATATATATATATATATATATATATATAGATTACAACTTGATTTAAATTTCAAATTGTTCAAGTTAGTTATTGTCTAGTAAATATTAGCTGTTTTGTTTTTGGATATAATATTTAATATTTTCATTTTGCTGTAAAATTCATAAAATACAAATAACATTCATCAAACACATGAACTGTTAATACAACACATTCATATTAAACTATATATAAAATAAAATAAAATAAAATAAAAAAATCTCTTAGAAATTTTTGATAGTTAACTAAATTGCAAAGACTAGAAGTAATTTTTATTTTTTTTAATTTAATGTCTTCTAATGATACTTTCATACTAATGTCTTAACTACCTTTAATATAGTTTTTATTTTGCATTGTGTTGAAAGTAGAGATGCCATTAATATATATATATATATATATATATATATATTTTTCCACAAATATTACAAAAATATTATAATCTTTTTGACAACATGAATTAGAACTTTAAAAAATTATCTTTCAAAGTTTGTTTTTTTTTTTTTTGTTGTTGTTGTTGTTTTTTTGTAAATATACATATATTTGTCATAATGTCTTGTTCGGATTTACTTTCTTAAGATTCTATGCAATCTCACTACCAAAGCACATTTTTCCAAATTGATATTAGGCTTATTAAGGATCAATTTTGTTGGGTCCTGCAAAGGGTAATAGGAACATGTAATTGAAGTCTCTTTGGTTCCAATCAAAAGCCACACTACAACATTCTTTAAGATTTGAAATAACATATTATATGAGTAGAATTATATATATATATATATATATAGAAAAGAGGGAATTGTTAAATCAACCCACCCATCATCATACATCTGCACATAAATTCTTGAGATATTCTTTTCATTAGATGAAGATCCAACAATGGAGAATTTTTTTGATAATAGTTAAGATGGATGGATTGATTTAGTAAATACATGGGTCAATTTAAAAATTTCTTAACTATATATATATATATATATATATATATATGTATGTACATTAGTTATTTAATATACATTTAAAGTAGATCTAATAAAAACAAATCAGGGTTGCATTCTTTTTATATATAAATTCACATACATAAAATTACACTCTAGGTAAATGGTGATAGATTCTTTACTTAAATTATAAAAATTAAAATATTTATATTAAAACATGCTTATTTAAAACACAATCTAAGTTGGATAGGTTTAAAGTGAATTTCTTAAAATTGCATGATAACATCATTTGGCTTTTAATATATAGATTTTTACTCGATTTTTTTCTTCTTCATCTAATTTGGTTGCTGGTAATTTGTGCTCCTTTTATTTAGTGACTTGTATGTAGTAAAAAGAAAAATCAATTTATGTAAACTTAATTGAAAGTACAATTATGTATATTTAGTTGAAAATTTTGTGCAAGTAAATAAATTTCAATTGACAGCTACTACTAGTGATAATAGCCATACTCACATAAATACCTATGTGCGTATATTTGCAGAAACATTTATGTGTAATCTTCGCAAAAGCTAACGATAAATACTAGTAAGTATGAGGAAAATCAGTTACAAGGTGTTGAGTTTGGTTCGAGAACGGCGACTACGACGATGACTGCGTTAACGACGACGGAGAAAACATCGACCAAGCGTCAACGGCGACGGAGGTGGAGAGCTCGTGATCAGCACGAGGTTTGGCTTGCAGTAACGGGGACAGAGACAAAGAAAGCTAGAAAGAAAAAGGAATAAAAAGATAACGAAAAGACGAGAAAGAGAAAGATAGACCCCATTGACGCGAGGCCGCGGCTAGACAGCCACCTCTGCACGTGCCGCGAGGCTCACAATACTACGCCATCAGGCAGCGGTGTGACACCGCCCACGCACCATCCAATCCACGCACGAGCAGGATGACGACGACGACGAGCAGCAACCGCCGGGACAATTTCACTACCCATCATCTTCTCCTCTGCAAGCTAGCAAGCAAGTGTGCAAGCATGCAGATAGGCAAGCAAGCAAGCAAGCAAGCCATCGGAACGGGGGGGCTTTGAACACGTCAAAGCCTGGTCGCCATCACCGAAGGGGGGCGAAGTCCCGGCAGTCCGCGTCACCTCGCACCGGACATGGAGCGGGCGTCGCGCATGGACCAAGACCCCCGACCCCACCCCACCCCCACCCCCACCCCAGGCAAGCGCCTTGTGGGCGCAAGCTCTGGATCTGCTGATGCTGATGCTGCTCCCACAAGCTCACCTCCATCATCCTCGCCTACCCTGGATGCTGGTCGAGATGACAATACCTTGATGCCCGCAGCCCTTAGCGCAATTATGATCGCTGCAATTCAATATAGATTTCGGAAAGGGTCGTTTTCCGATCATACCGTCGCTCAGGGCGTTGTTTGGTTGATGTCGGGGAAGAGGTAGTGACGAGGATCACGATGGTTTTTGTCGGGCACGTGAATGTACTCATTGCCTTTTTTTTCGATTTTATTTTTCCGATTATCCTAGTCGAGTTTGTAGCTAGCGATTCTTTATGGTTTCTGGGTTAGGTGTGCTGCGGACCCGGGATGTGTTTGAGGTGGAAGGTTTTCGGTGAAGAGTATTGAAGTTCGGCACACCACTGTGCTCGTGGATTCGGAATGAGGAAGTGACATTGCTCTGCGCGCAGGAGTAATTGTGTTGACTCGTCCTGTGTTGTGGGCCACGGCGTGGTTATTGTAATTTGGTAGTTTTTTTTTGTTGGGGATAATTAGTCGCCTTGACCAGGTTGATCTCTGTGCGTTGACTGTCGTGCGTTGATGAACTTGCGGATGATTTTCAGAAGCCGAGCAAGTTATCAATCGTCGGTGATCATCTTGCATCGCATATCTTCAACATCGCAAGGAGCACCCAGTCCATAGCGTTTGGTAGAGATGTCGAGCTCTTTATTGCCTAAGAATGTAGGGCGTACAGTTTGTTGCAGACCAGATTTTGTCCGCTTGACGTAGCGGTAGTTTTGACAGCTCACAGAATTGAACCTTGATTTCAGTTGGCGTCAACGCACTGAGGATTCTGCGAAAACATAAAGAACTTGTCATTGCCGAAGCAATTTGCATTTGACTTCCGTGTTCAGTTACAGTGCAAATTCGCAGAAGTTGATGCCCTTTAAAGGTCTTGTTTCTGCGAGTATTCCTCTAGATTCGATGCTTTTGCAGACTTTCCTACTCTAACATATAAGGTGGAGCGCATATTCGGGATGACCTCTTTGTCAACAGCAATAATAATTTTCAACGCAATGGTTTAGAATTGCCCATAGAAGCACTTTCATTCGATAATTGTCTGTTTTGAGGGTTCAGCCTCTGGCTAGAGATGGAAGAAGTCTTCGTGGCCATTCTGAAGTCATTTATGAGTCATTTTGGAGAGGTTTGATTATGGTTGCCTTTCTGCGTGAAGTGAGGATGTCCTCTGAGGGGAAGCAGGAAATGCGAACGCTCGAATGCGTCGGTGCTCAACAGGCTCAAAATTACTCCATAGTCTTATCTTGACTCGCTTTCGTGAAGACGGAGAAGTTCAACCACGTACAAAGATCTATAGCACGGCGTGATTGGTAGCAGGGAATACTTGCGCGCTTTCCGACGTGGGTAATCTAATTCAATCGAGTCGAGAGGCCAAGGTTGTTTTTTAAGGACTGTAGTACTGTTGCAATCTGGTAATCTCTAGAGTGATGTTCTCGTTAGTATCCAGACTCGCCTCAAGAGGGTTGCACGAACACTGACGCTAACTATCGTTTAAAAGCAGTATTCATAGATTGATAGTGCAAAAGTGGCGTTGAACTTATATCCTCTCAGGGTCTCTCCCACGGAATATTCTATCCACCAATTGATTAGAAGCGAATACTACACGTTTCTCGTCTGCTTTCGATTCGTGAGGTTGAAGTTGAAGTTGAAGCTTCATACTGTTTGATTGATAGAAAAAGTTGATGGTCATTCGGAGTTGATATAGAATTTTCACTGTCAACCCCAGCCGTAACAGTGCGAAGTACCATTGAGGCCACCAGTCTAAACGTCGTGACGAAAGCGGCATGACGAAAGCGTGATGTGAACTTCTTTTCAGTGTGCCCTCTAGGTTCTAACCTGATTCGTGACTCGCCCCTTCCGATAACAAATTTGGGACGTTAAGATGCCGCGTGGAAAATTATGCACTCAAGTTCTGGGAGCAGTCTAATCGACAGGTTGCCGGTTCACTTGTTGTGTGCTCTTTTCGTTAGTTCATGCCAGTAAGTTAAGGACTGAAGGCGATTTGTATTTTGCTGTTGCCGACAAGAAGAGTTTACAAACTTATCGGCACACTATCTGCTCGTCGTATCGAGCTTGGCATAGTAAATTAGTTACAAGCTTTGTTTGACGAGCGATCCTCTCAAATCAATTTTCTACATGTCTTGGTGGCTTCAGGGCTTAGAGCTTCTATAGTGCCGGTGGCAGTTCAAATGCAAATACGGGTAGGAGGAGGCTGGATGAAATGAGGAAGAAAAAGTTCGGGATCTTAGATGTCGAATTTTTCACCAGGCTTTCTCTGGCGTTGCTCTTGTTACTATTTTTAGCAGTCAAGGCCCAAGGGGCGAGTACCTTACTCCGAAGTCGCACCATCACCACTACAGACCCCACACTGGTATCTTCGAATGGCGCCTTCACCCTAGGTTTCTTCCCTGCATCCAATGGCAGAGATTACGGATTTGGAATTTGGTATGCACAATTGGCCCACGTTGTGATCACTGTGGTATGGATGCCCCGCCGGGACATCAGGCTGAGCAGGTTGGCATACTTGCAGTTTTCTGAGGATGGAACCCTTCGGCTATTTGACCCCGTCTGGAGCGCTCTTTCTCCGGTCTGGACAGCGGGGAACAATCCGGTGAGTAGCCATCTGGAACGAGAAATGCACTTCGTTTCTTGCATTTCAATACGTTCCAACCCTCTATTTTGTTAATGACGTCGTATGAGTTACGACACCTGGGTTTAGACCTACGTGTATCTCTATGTTGCGGAATGAATCATCATGGTAAAATGATTACCACGTATTTGTAGGCCACATGATTGACTTTGGGGATAGAAAGTAACAACTTCGTTTTGAAATCAACTGATTGTTTGTAGTTCATTCATGATTCAATATAAAGAAGTTGATTTGCACAGGATTCGTAGGAGTATTCAAACGTCCTAATTCAAAGTTCTCATGTCATTCGCTATTTAAGTACGGATCACTCTTCAAATATAAGATAGAATTTGGAAACAAATGGAGCGTCATACACAGCTCATACTGGATATCACAATTGATGTTCATTTTCATGTAGATTGTGTACGTAAGGAGACGGTGGAAGTAAAGACATATCAAATCAGCTACTGCTTGTTGATATTCTATTCCATTTCATGAGTTATTCAGGCTCTGATAAGTGTAGGAATGAAGGTCAGGCGTGCATTGATGTGTGAAGCTTGCTTCCTTGCAGTCGATTGCGGAGGTTTTGGAACTGCACGAATCGGGAAATTTAATGCTCCTGGATGGATCCAACACAGTGATCTGGCAAAGCTTTGATTCGCCGACTGATACGTTGTTACCCGGTCAAGCTCTATTCACCAATATGAGCCAGTCGCTGGTTTCATGGCAATCCGCGGATGATTGGTCTGAAGGATATTATCTCTGCGGTTGGGTTTCAATCGAAGGCACCTCATTAACCTCCATCTTAGCTTTGAGTTGGAATGGCAAGAGTATTGAGTCTTGGAACCATACTTCATGGTCAGCTAATAAGTCTGTGACAGGAGGCGTCACACTTTTTCCTTACTTATTCAATTATCCAGCTTCTGATTACATATACCTGGATCCATACAATGGTAGCTTTTACGCGGGGAATATTTCGGCGCAGTACTTAGTGATGAGCAGCACATCGCACAGTCCAGGTCCTCTTCGCCGTGTTACGCTTGATCGAGACGGAGGGCTGCGCTTGTATAGCTGGACCTTGGGCACATCAACTCAATGGGCTGTAGAAGGTAACTGGGTAAGCGAACCGTGTGGCGTCTATGCTGAATGTGGCCCCTATGGTGTCTGCAGTCCTGATCCTTTATCCCCAGCATACCTTGGAAAGTGCTCGTGTCCGCCGGACGACTTTGAATTCATCGACCCAATGGATCCATTGAAAGGGTGCAAACCTATATTCGAATTCCCTCTACATTCGTGCATCACCAATACGAGTAAAATTCGGCTTAAAAAAGTGGGTGACACTGACTATCCTTTTGCCAACAGACTGTATCCATACATCAACACAACAGAGTCAGCGTGCATCCAAACTTGTTTGGACGACTGCCGATGTGCAGGAGCTGTGTTCTGGAGACGTGATGGAAGGTGCTATATTAAATCCGGGCCTCTATTTAACGGTGGGTATCCCCAAGACGTGGGAAATCACTCAGCCTACCTCAAGGTTTTGACCTCGCCTCTGATTTCTCCTGGACGGAAGGACAACTTAATTAGCATTGTTTCTGGAATTGTTTCCGGTGCGGTCATCGTGGTTTTAGTCTTGGTTCTGATCGCGTGGACATGCTGGAAGAGGAGACGAGAGCGATGCCAACCGATGCTTACCGATCAATACCTTCTTGGACCCCGGAAATTCTCGCTAAGAGAACTGAACATCGCGACGAAGAACTTCAGCCAGAGTGAATTGATTGGGCGTGGTGGGATGGGGTCTGTGTACAAGGGGACGTTGCGGCCTTCAGGCACCGTTGTTGCAGTCAAACGCATCAGACACGAATCTAAAGGTGGAGAGCAGGGATTTCTAGCCGAGGCATCTAGCATCAGCCAGATTCGCCACAGAAACCTTGTACAGTTGAAGGGGTGGTGTATTGAAGATAATAAATTCCTGCTAGTCTATGACTACATGCCAAACGGAAGCCTTGATCAGTGGCTCTATGATGGGCGCAGCGAGGCAAGCCGAAGGCGTCAGAGAACCGGTAAAGATCAGCTGCCATGGAGCTTGCGGTACTCCATTGTTACTGGCATTGCCGCTGCATTAGCATATCTTCATGAGGATTGGCAGCAGTGCGTGTTACACCGGGATATCAAATCCAGCAATGTGCTGCTGGATGCCGAATTTAACGCACATCTAGGCGATTTTGGACTGGCACGGCTTATCGACCACCAGAAGGTAGAAAAGACCACTTTGATGGCTGGCACTCTTGGCTACATGGCACCTGAGATGCCATTTACTGGCAAAGCTACAAAAGAAACCGACGTCTATAGTTTTGGCGTTCTGATGCTCGAGGTAGTGTGTGGCAAGAAACCTGTGGATTCTCATTCAAACGACCTTGATATGGAGCCTCAGGATGTCGTGCTATTGCACAAAGTTTGGCGTGCTCACGAAGCGGGTGATATCTTGGCTGCTGTGGATCCCCGACTGCGAAAAGAATCTGATAAAGTTGTGGCCTCTGAGAGGGCAGCGCCTAGAGCTTCCAGCTTGTCGCACAATGGCCCAAATGCTTCCGTTCGTACAAATGGAGATTCTTCAGAACCAAAATATGACAAGGAAGGGGTAGACCTCACAGAGGAACCCATTCATGGAGTCGAGGTCATGGACCGCGAGAAGGATGAGAAAATGCGAACCCTCCACTTGGGCCTTTTGTGCTGCCTCCCATATCCTAACGCTAGACCATCCATGCGACTTGTTCACCAAATCTTAACAGGCGATGTCACTGCAATTCCGTCGCTTCCAGGCGTGAATCAGTTCACTTATCTAGATGTTCTCTCTGCGGTCCGTGGCGAACATTATCCTCAGCGTTTGGTCTCGGAGCATATAAACTCTGATGTAATATCGACCCCCTCTTCTCTTTGAGTTTAACTGTCACGAAGTACTGCACACGCCGATGTTCTAGACTTTGGGACCACGATCGCTTAAATCGGTTGCGTTGCAGTTATTCCAGTAAATCTAGACTATGAAGTGATTTTCATCTTCATCATAGAAACTTTTAGTGTAAACAAGCGTCCCCATGCGACGTTTTCAAACCCCTTTACAGGGAATCTTATCGTGGTCACACCATTTTGCTCAACATAGCTCTTAAAAATGACCACAATAGACCTAGGTTTTCATGTTTGTAGGAATTCGGATCAAGGACTTTCTGAGATCCAAGATGCTAAGTGCCGAATGGGCTCCAAATCAGCACCTCGAATCTCACAAATCCCTTGGTCCCTGAGTGTACCTGACGCGATCCTCAACATCATTTACTTTTGCCGCGCATGTCGTCTCGATTCCTGTCGAAGGTTATTATTAGAACTGCACTTCATTGCTGATCGCCGCACCGAAGCTCCTGATCTGACCTGCAAGCTTTTCAGTCATCTCAGTCTCAACAGGAACAAGATATATCTAGCAAGGAATCACTGATGATTCATCACATGGATACAGATCCAGTCTGCCAATCCACGATGTCATGGACTTACTAGGGTACACGCTCGTTTCGAGCACTCACTAATCATCTGATCCTGGTCTATTCTCATTTACGACCTCGGCCCATCTGACCCTGACTCATGTCAATGACATTCTCCCACACATCAAGCAAGTTCACGACTCTCGGACAACTCCGAAGGTCTGATAATGCATAGTGCAAAAGGGATCCACCGCAGTCGCCGTCATTGGCTGCTTTTGCCGATCATCGCCTTTACCGATGCGGAGATCTAGATTCCGTGAACCTGCATCCTTGTCATTAAAATCCATATTGACTTTTGCAGACGCAGAATATCTGAATATCACCACAGTCCAATCTTTCCCCATCCTTTCCAAGCACCACTTATATCAGATTTACACCTTTTTCAACGGGTCAGCTGAGTAGGTCAACAAGAAGTGCCTTGGAAGAGCAACCCAGTGATTGCTAAGCCTCCAATAAGTAATGTCGTGTTCAATATGGACTTCATTGGTTGATATATTGGTACATGTACAATTATTGTGTCTTGAAATCGAGAACATTTTATTGCCAGTGCAAGAAATGTATGTAAATATAGATACTGCTAATATTATGTTTTTAGGTTTATTTGTTATTAGAAGAAAAAAAATACCAACTTTGAATGGAGTGGTGAGTGTTCATTGATGACATGATATTTATTTTAGCAGTATTGAATGTTTTAGAGTTTGAAGATCACAAAAATACATAAATAGGTATCTATTTCTAAAGAACCACATTTAATCGATTGTGGTAGTGAGTGTTGTTTGAGAGAGTATAATAGCTATAAAACATCATTTGTTGATTTTTCAAGAATTTAATAACATAGTAGGTAATGGTGTCTTTGCTTTTAACATAAGCTTGCTTAATTTCAACATAGAATTTTTTCCAATCTATTTGTCAATAAATTCAAGAGCTTAAAAAATAAGTTAAAAGAAGGCAATAAGGATATACAAGATGTGGATGGATGCAATGCAAGAATAATCATTCAAAATGACTTGCTTGCAATGCCATTTACTCATTTGAAATACATAATTAAATAGAAGTGCCACTACTTACATTTATTTTATACACAATGACATATATTGGAAGAAAAATAAAAAATTAAATAAGAATTTCAAACAAGTAGTTAAACATCATCAAGTAGTGTCAAGAAAATGGTTTATATTTTTTAATATACGATTTATTTTATTTCAATAAAAAAACAAAAAAAGACTTTGAAATATGATTTTATATACAAATTTTAATCTTATTAAATATTATAAAAAATAGCAAGAAATATTGATGTAATATAATAATTAATTATAATATGTAATTTGCAGCTTTATTTGTATTAATTAACAATGTTTTTTTAATACATAAATATTTAGTATAATATAGATTAATATTAACAATGCAAGTATAAATATTGGTAAAATTCTATATTAAAATTGGTGCATGTTTTAAGACTTAGAATAGCAAATTGTGCTTCAATAGCTTTAATAATTATACAGACCCTCAAAACTAAAGCAATTAGCAAAAAAAATAAAATTAGAGAGCTATATTTGGAAGAGTATTGATCTTTGAGCCAAATTGCAAATTGTTTAAGATGTGCAACTAAACTGGCTATCAGTCTTTCAAATTTCAGCTTGAAAAAACTAAAGCAATTAGCAAAAAAAATAAAATTAGAGAGCTATATTTGGAAGAGTGTTGATCTTTGAGCCAAATTGCAAATTGTTTAAGATGTGCAACCAAACTGGCTATCAGTCTTTCAAATTTCAGCTTGAAAATTGTAGCAATAAGAGAGAAATTGCATTTCAAATGAACATAGGTTTATTGACTTAGTTTTGCAACCTACATCTACTTGCACATCAATAATTTGTCCACCTTTCTTTAGAAGCTAAAACAACTTAGATACAGTTGGCATGCTATGATAAAACTTTTGACACTGTTTAGAAGTGCTAGAATTGAAAGAAGCTTGCACATGCTCCTACAATTGAAGCATTTATTTGACTAGTATTGGATACTCATTTAATTTTTTTTTTATAAGTACCTATACATGTTCAATTAGATTTAGGACAAGTAATTGAAGAGGCCAAGTATATACATCAAAATTTTGCTTTGACAACCATTGCTTAATTGATTTTGCAATATGTTTAGGATCATTATCATGCTGAAATATGATACAAAAAGGATTAAAAGGATACCATTCAATTGTCTTTATAAGTTCACCTTGAAGAATGCTAAGATATAGATCTTGTTTTATCTTCTCCTCTATCTTATACAAATAACCTATGCTTCAAAAAGTCATACAACTCCATACAAAAATTATACAATACATATGTTTAATTATTTGACTTACATGACACGTTTGTAATTGAGATGTTTTTATCCTTCAACCAAGACAAGTACAACCATCAAATTGAAATAGATTGATCTTAGTTTCATCACTAAAAATCATCTTATAACAATCATAGAGAATCCAATCTTGATGAAATTAATCAAATACCAACTTGTAATGCTTATTCTTGGCCGTGAGCAAGAACTTTTGTTTTTCTAATGATCCAAGACCTTATTCATGAAGTACTTACTTCACTTTGTTGGTGCTCACTACCACATTTAAGTGCTCACTTAAAGCATTCATCATGTCTAAAACATTATTTAATCTATCAATTATAATGGCTCTTATACACACTTGTCTTTGAGTAAGAGTGATGCTTCCTAGGCACCCTCCTCTTGAAGGCTCTACATAAGAAATGTATTCTCTATAAATTCTAAAGCATGTAGATTGAGAGATATCCAAGAATTTTGACACTTCATATATGCTACGCCTATGTTGCAATAAGGCTACATCATTCAACCTCTTTTCATTTGGTAATTCTCTCATGGATTAAAAATGTCTTCACAATTGTAAGAAAAAATATTTTAAGACACCATACTACTAACCAAAAGTAAGTGGAATAATTCTAAGGAGCATTGTAAAGTCATTCTTTCAATTAAAGTTGATTAGTGAAAATAGTTACAAAATTGAGTCAATAGACTTAAGTTCATTTGAAATACAATTTCTCTCTTGTTGCTATAGTTTTGGAAAGATGACAGCTAGTTTAGTTATGCATCTCATCCAATTTGCAGTTTGGCAAAAAAATTAACTTTTTAGATATGGCTTTCCAAAATTTGATGTTTTACTAATTGACTTAATTTTGAAAGTTAGTATAAGAAGACTTGTGTTTATTAAGTTCTTCATTTTTTTTCTTATATTTTTTCTATCATTATCAACCAACATCATATAATATATATATATATATATATATATATATATAAGTTCACTAAATTATGCAAAGATAAGAATTACCAAATATCTAGAATTTAATTTATATTTATTTGCTACTTAAATAAATTAAATTGATACTAATATTCTTGATAAGATTTGTATTGGCTTTAATCCAAGTCTCAATATTTTTAGAATTTTTTACACTATTGTTGATATAAATAGAAAAGCATGTGGTACCAAAATAAATCTATCCAAGCAAATAAAACAAAATGTTAAGTAACAAAATTAATGCCTAAAACATATGATATCTAAGATAAAAAATTAAAATTAAAAAAAGATAAGAAAAAAAGACATGGAACATAAAAAGAAAATGACAAAGGGAGAATAAAAGAGGTGGACATCATTGGGTTTTTATGGACACTCACCAGGCAACCAAAATTACCTCTTATGACTATGTGTGTGCACATACATACGAAATAGACACCAAACTTAAGCAGCCCGAGTAGAGTATACACAGTAAACTTAAGAATGACACATGCTTGAAAAACTGTGTGATTCTATGGGATACGTCCAGGTTCAAATTTAATGTTATCAAGTCCGTAAGCTATGGTGGCCTCCGATAGGCACCCACTCTCAAGGTTTAGGCATCCCTGTCCAGCCACTGTGGAGGGCAGTTATCAACTTGTCAAATGCACAAACGACCGCAACAGCAAAGACCTTGTAAACGACCTACGGTACTCGTCATGATCGGGCAATGTGTGGGTTGAGATGGTGGGAACCTATCATACATTTGAAGAGTTTGCCGCAACCTCCTGGAGTCACAGGCTCTCGAGATATATCTGTGTTGCCAGGTTTCACATGACAGTCCACGACTTAAGTCATAACATAAAAATAAAAATAAAAACTGACAAACTCATCATTGCATGACCTGGCCTAGCAGCTAAAATGGCACACTCTGACTGTACAGAACTGGAGTAACCATCCCCCATCTGACGACGTTCCTGCCGCACACATACCACACAATTAAACTTCCAAAAATTTGCCGAAATCCAATCGCTCATCCGACAATGCACTGTCGTCCATTAAACTTTCAAGCAAACGTTAATACCACGTGGACATTACACGACTCTCACTAGTAAGGTGAAGCAAATCTTCCAGTATTCAAACTTATAGGGTCTTCGCCGACCCGGCCCTCGGCCTAGAGCCTTCAAGGACTACAACCATTAAGAATAATAAGACTGAAAACGCTACATACTTCTACCGTACAAATTCTATTCACAGACTATCCTGTTGTTGGCCGACTTCGTAGAGAGGCGTCTTCTGAACGGAGACTCGGGCCAACATATCGTATCTAAAAATATCTCATCGCCATTACCCTACACTACGCTGTTCAGCTAGCAAATAGACAAATTCGAGATCAATACGCCTGATGTATGGCTAGACAAGCCGCTGGGAACACGAGGAAATAAGGTAAAAGCCTGGACAGCACCATCTGGCACGCGAGACGGCATCCATGTCTTTAATATACCACTCGTATGCTGAGTCCTTGGCTGCGAGTAATAGTGCCGTCAACACTACTCTAAAAGATCCTTACTGTCGTCGTCCATATTCTGGGATCCTGGTGAGAGGATGTCCCGATCCAACTCCTCCATCATAGCTTGCGCCTCAGCTATCACCGAGGACTCGTCTTCTGCTGCATATAGAATTCTTTGCACAGCCTTTACAACCTGCACTTCGTGAGGATCCCATCAAAAATGCTGTTAAATACTGTACAACCGTACGGCACTTTCACTACAACGCGAAAGCAAGAATAATATAACAGTGTGACTATAACACCCATTAACCGCACAACCAAACCCAACTGCACAAGCGTTCAATGTTGACACGTTAACAGCGCTAGACATAGAACACCAACCGGAATGTGGCTTAGCTCTTGAGCTTGACACAGAATCTCGATGTCACGCAGCTTCGTGAAGTAAAAATCGCGCTCCTTCTCTAGATTTGACACCGATAGCTTCAATTCTGTGATCTGCTTCACGTGATCCTCGATTGAAGCAGACGCCTGAGAGGCAGCAAACCATCCCACCCATTCCATTCTTAAGAACCCATGCTCACCCCGTCCCCCATAAAACCAGGAGCTCACTTGATGTGCATGATTGTAAGCACGAGACAGAGAGGTAAGATCCCATCCAATACCTGCTCCTTGGTGTGCTTCGTCACATTCACATGCGCCTCACTCGAACCGCCACTTCTCCCACTGCCGTTCATATTCGGAGTCGAGTTATCCGTCGTTACCCGCCGAGCTGCACCCGAGCTCGTCTTCACATTCGCGTTAGATGCAGACTTGACGCTGCTCTGGCCACTGGAGCTCATCCCCACCACACGCCTGTTGGTCTCCTTACCACCCTTGCAAGACTCTCTCCTCTCCGCCGCATTGTACGTGGGATTCACGTGGTTGTTATTGATCTGATCACAGTACCTCTTCATCCACTGCAGAAACTCCAGGTTATCCAGGGGCCGCCCCTTCACCAGCTTGCTCACTTCGATGTGCCGCCCGATCTTCAGCTTGTTGAAGACATCCTGCAGCACCTTGTAGTTCTGTATCATCTCGTACTCCGACTTCGCGTCGAAGCTCACCTTGTGCATCGACACCATCCCCGGGTGCACTACGTCCATCAGCTGGCAGTAAACAGCCCCTGACGCCGCCTCCTCCACCTTGCTCAGCGACAGCTCCAGCGTGCTATTCACCCAGCTCAAAATCTCATTGCGGCCCACAAAGTAGGCCGCGTCCATCATCCCTATGGTCGTCGCCCCCATGATCAACTTCACGAATGCCCTGAAATTCCTAAACCCACACCACCGTCTAACACAGAATCCCCAACCAAGCGCAACCTCTCAACCCAACCCACATACCCACAAATGTGATGACCTTGAAACCCAACCCCAGATCACTTCAACCGCCACGAACACGCCCCACCCCTGAAATCTCGCATACAACCACCAACAAAGACTACCCCACAAAAAGGCAGGCCTTCGAATACGCTATACACAAGATCCCCTCTCAAGTGCGGAAAAAAAGAAAACCCCCCCAAACCCAGAAGACGGCAGCTAACCAGATCTAGAACCAACAAGGCGGAGAGCGATGTGCGCGTGAAGACTATCAGACCAGGCAGAGTATGAAAAAAACAGAAGATTAGCGCAACCAGAAGAGCTTCAAGCTTCAATCTACAAGGTCAGCAGCAGCATATTGATGCCGAGGAAACAAATACTAGTCGACACTCCAGAAACAAAATCAGGTACTCTCCGACCTAATGCACAATACTGACTGTCCTCTATCCCCGTCCTTTGACCACTTGCCCTTTCCTCAGCTGTTCACTCCTCTCCTCTCCTCTCCCTCCTTCCATTCCCTTCCCTTCCTTTCTAATGCCCGTTGCGAGCTAGAGTCGGTGCAATGCAACGGAGCAGCAGCAGCACGCGCGTAGTATCTAGTAGGAATGAGAGAGTGCTACGCAGTGGAGCGATGAGAGTCGGCCGAGGTTTGAATGTGGAGCCCCTTCCAAGACAACGGCCCCCCCCCCTCCCCATGTTCTCACTGCGAATGTTCCCTTCTGCGCGTTCCCTCGTTCTCTAACATCTGTTCCCAATCCACCTTGCCTTCTTTAAAACCGCACCGGAATCTGGAATATGCCCTGTTGACCTCGGTGGTAGGGCCCTTTATGTTCGAACACCGTGGTGTTGAGCCACCGCGCTTTGAATGTGTTTGGGATGATGGTGATAATGTTCTCCATGTTGTATCTAAATAGTGTATATTGTGAGCTGTAACAATGTTGTTATTGTGTATGAATATCATGTTTTGTGACATTGGAATTTGATCACCTTTAAATTTTCATGATTAACTTTTGTAATCTGTACTTTTGTAAATTTGCGAGTAAAAATAAGCCTCTATATTAAAATACTTTTAATGTGGGAGGAACTATGTAAAATTTTGTTTTGGGTTTTAATGATGTTATGTAATAAAATATAGTGCATTCAATCCTTTATATTACAACAAAGATTTTCAAAGGTTGATGTTCTCAAACATAAATTTGGTCAATTATTTATACAAATTATTCAATACCTTGTTTCAAAACTTAAAACGAATTATTAATATTATTGATACTATACAGTCTTCAGTGATTTACATGACCTTGAATTAGCAATTTATTTATTATTTAGTTATTATTATTATTATTATTATTATTGAAGTGTTAATGTGACAAAATTTATTTTGTCACATTAGACAGGTGATTAGTTCTTATGCAATCTATTTATTTGTAGAAATAGTTTGGTATTATCATATACAATGACATCCAATTTTTTGCTTAGGCATCTTCTGTCTTGGTGATTCATGTAACTTTTACTATTATATATATATAAAAATAAAAGTGTTATATATTCACAACTACTTAAGTTTTCCTTTTTCTTTTTCTTTTTTTTCCCCCTCCAAAAAACATGGAGTGGGGAAGATTCAAGAAATTCTGTAACAAACTTATCAGTTAATTTTTGCTCCCACTTCCTTTGAATTAATTTATGTAAAACTACTAAAATCAATAATCTCTCTAAGCATTAAGAGTTTCTTAAATAATATGCAAAAGTGCTTAAGTATTTCTGGAACACTTTTACTTCGATAATATGCTTTGTAAACTTTATTTAATTATTAGCTACTGTACATGTGTACATGTGAATTATTAACTACAACTTTGATCTATGCTTGTATATTATTGTGTGATTTGTAATCTTGTACAATAGTTCCATGCAGATTTGTATTTGTACTTTCAATATCACCACGGTGATTTATTTATTTTCTGCTTTTGTTTTTTTCTTGATATATGTATATGTATGTGTGTATATATAGTCAAAGTATACATCTTTAAAATTCATAACCACATGACCTGATCATTTATCATATTGAAGCTATATATTTAATTAATGTGTCTTCAAATATCATTTTTGTACAACTAAAAATAAATTTATGATTATACACAATATGCAGTTCAAGAAAAACAAGATGTACTTCTAATGTTATGGTCTCATCTACATCACCATTACTGAACTTAATAAAACATCAAAGTTCACAATCAATAAATAAATAAATGTACCCACACATGTTTAAAAATCTATGCACTGGAATATATATATATATTTATATATATATATATATATATATATATATATTTATATATAATGAGAAATCATGCAATTAAACTTTCAACTGGTAGATGGTCTTCTCACTTTTGAAAATTGTTGTCAATGATTTGATAACTACTTTCAGATATATATATATATATATATATATGTAAATATTTAATTTCCTTCATTATCTTTTTCTTTTTGAAAATGATCCCATATCTAAAACAATGACTTGCGGCTCTTAATCCAGCTACTACATAAATTAGAGCCTACTTGAACTGACACAACCACTTGGTAAAATTGTCATTGAGCCATATTTTAATTTATCTCATTTTTAAAATTTTCTATATATACAAAAATTATCAAAATTTCTGTAGTCATGATTATGTATAGCAAACTATCAAAGATAAGAATTTAAAGAATGTAATTATAAAAATAAAATGAGTTTCAAAAAAAGATGAATTAAAACAAATGACAAAGTATGTTTATTCAAGAAAAAATTGAAATAGCTTTTTTTAATGAAATAAAAACTATATAATCTTGAAACTAGATTAGAAATAAAAAAAAAGTTGATAAACTTGAAGAAGACATGACTCGTGCCTCTATATATATTATTTAACTAGAAACTATATGACAAGATTCTATAAGATTTCTAATATCTATTCTATTTGTAAGACATGTGTTTAACTTACAAGACAAGTTTCCTATATTTGTGCCATATTACAAACTTTTTGGCCAAATTTTTAATATATCAATTATCTACATACATATATAAAATCAAATTTGTATCTATAAAGCTTTTAAGAAGTTTTTTTATAAGTTATTATATAATTTATTGTCAAGGACAAGAACTCGATGAAAAACAATTCAGACAAGTGAGCCTTCACTCAAAGAGAGGTAAATAAACAAATATATATATTGAAAAAGAAACTGGAATGGCTATTGCCAAAAGACAAGAAAACTAGAGACCCTTGAAACTAGACTAGAAGCAAGAAAGGAGTTGATAAGAGTGAAGAGAGCTTCACTCTTGCCTCTATATATACTATCTAACTAGAAGCCACGTGGCGATATTCTATAAGACCTCTAATATGTGTTGACTTTCTAGGCCACATGTCTTTGCTTGCAAGACAAGTTTTCTATGAGTGGACTACGTAGTTAGCTTGTTCTTCAAGCTACCAACATGTGTGGCACATGGCTAACTTGTTGACCAAGTTTCTAACCTAAAAGTCAACTATGGACTCCTATAAGGTCAAAGCAACATCTATGAAGCTTCTAGGAAGCTTCTCTAGAAGATATTGCACAATTAACCTACTTTTATCTACTTTTACATACTTTTATTGACTCTTGTAGGTAATTATATGTATATCCGTGACATTACCCCCCCTTCTAGGAACGATTTCCACGAGGAGCGGTGATTATATGTTGAGAAAGTCTAATATGCGACGAATTGTATTTGCTACATACTCTGATCTCTGTTCTCTTCGAAGGTAGTTGATGGGTCCTCTTAGCCATCAATAGTGTCCAATTCCAAGGCGAGAAGACCACCCTGTTATTTGATCATTATTGAGGCCTTCATAACTTCCTTCAAATAATACATTTGAAACACCATCAGCAGTCGTTCCTATCTCCAGTAATAACACCAAACATTGAGAATCTCTTCCAAGGTCGTGATACCAAACGCGTTGTATCTCACCATCTATTCGAGGAAGAACATGTCATTCTTGAGGATCTTCATCTCGGTTGCGTCGTCTTGAAGGTTGTGACAATCGCAATGTCTCATCCGATAAGTCAGCAAACGAAGGTTCTTGAGTTGAATCCGCTGGTTGTTGGCTTTCCATCTAATTAGCGTCACAAATGCAAAGAAATTACAAACAAGGATAGGAAATTGAATGTTATCTTGCCTCAATCTTGTCTCTTTTATAAGAGAGATTTTCATCTTGATTTTGATGGATGTCGTTGATGAAAAACTTTGACTTTAGCTGATGCATTTGCTAGATTCTTGGATGGCTCCCATGTGCATTCACTAATATCATATCCGCGCCAATGAACAAGTTATTCCAGCTTATTTTGGCCCCGCCTCGAGTCTAATATCTCTTCCACCTCAAATTCTTCATTATTATCTACTTCAATAGGAGGCGGTGGCATTTGTCTTCTTCTTTGTATATCCACTGTCTTATATGGTTCAAGAAGAGACACGTGGAATACAGGATGGATCTTCATTGACTCCGGTAGATGTAACCGACATGCAACTGGGTTGATCTGTTCAGAAACAGAAAAGGGGCCAAGCCTACGATAGTCCAACTTGTCACAAGGTCGAGTAGTCTTGATATTGCGACGAAGTAGCCATACCTTATCACCCACGTTGAGTTGTGGTTGCTCCTTACGATATAGATCTGCGTTTATCTTTTTTCGTTCTTGAGCTTCCTTCAATTGCGTCTTCATTATTGCATGTAACTCTGACAACCGATTTGCCATATCTTTTGCTGCAGGATTATCAACTTTTGAAAAATCAAAAGTATCAAGTCGTGGATGATAGCCATAATTGGCAAAGAAAGGTGTTTGTTGCATGGAAGAATGTACCGTATTATTATAAGCAAACTCTGCCAGTGGCAGAAGGGTTGTCCAATCATCTTGTTGGTAGTTGATAGTACACCTTAAATATTGCTCCAAGACTTGGTTTATGCGCTCTTTTGTCCATCAGTTTGAGGATGGAAAGCCGAAGATAGCTTTATGTCCACTTTTAAAATCTTGAAAAGGGTCCTCCAGAATCTTGACACAAATTGAGTTCCCCTATCCGATATGATATCTTTAGGTAATCCATGATAGTGATAGATATTATCAATGAAAAGCTTAGCTGTTTCTTCACCTGTGATAGATTTTGTATATGGCACAAAATGTGCCATCTTGGTGAAACGATCTACTATCACAAATACAGAATCATAAGATCTTGAGCTTGGAAGATCTGTGATGAAATCCATAGAAACAAAAGACCATGGTTGTTCTGGTATAGGTAATGGCTGAAGAAGTCCGTAAGGTCGATGACGAGGAATTTTTGATCTTGAACAAATATCACATGATTGTACAAAGTCTTTGACTGACTTCCACATTTGTGGCCACCAAAAATCTCTTGATATGAGTTCCAAAGTCTTATTATATCCAAAGTGCCCTGCTGCTGGAAAGTCATGACGTGCTTGAAGAACACGTAAACATGCTTCTCCTTCTAGAACATATAGGCGTCCTTCAAAATATAATAGATTATTCTTGAACTCGAACTTAGAAGGATCATGAGACTTGGAAGAATTATTCTCGATATCATGAACAAGAGGGTCTGAGGACATACTGGACTGGATTTGCTTGAGAAAAGTTGAATCAACAGTCAATGTTGATTTC